TATAGCATTTTAGTATTGCAGGTACATTAACTTAACTGTCACAAAGGGTTCCCATACTCCGGACTGCTCACCTTGACTACTTCCTTCACCACTTCCTACGTCGTGGACCTGTTTCCCTCCCTTCCTTTAGCATTTTTTTTATTGCAGATTCATTAATCTAACTGTCACAACGGGTTCCCACACTCCGGACTGCTCGCCTTGACTACTTCCTTCAACACTTCCTACGTCGTGGACCTGTTTCCCTTTAGCATTTTATTATTGCAGATACATTAATCTAATTGTTACAATGGGTTCCCACACTCCGGACTGCTCGCCTTGACTACTTCCTTCACCACTTCCTACGTCGTGGACCTGTTTCCCTCCCTTCCTTTAGCATTTTATTATTGCAGATCCATTAATCTAACTGTCACAAAGGGTTCCCACACTCCCGAGTGCTCACCTTGACTACTTCCTTTACTACTTCCTACGTCGTGGACCTGTTTCTCTCCCTTCCTATAGCATTTTTAGAATTGCAGATACATTATTCTAACTGTCACAAAGGGTTCCCACGCTCCGGACTGCTCGCCTTGACTACTTCCTTCACCACTTCCTACGTTGTGGACCTGTTTCTCTCCCTTCCCATTGCGTTTTTAGAATTGTAGATACATTATTATAACTGTCACAAAGGCTTTCCACACTCCGGAGCGCTCGCCTTGACTACTGCCTTCACTACTTCCTACATCGTAGACCTGTTTCCCTCTCTTTCCATAGCATTTAAGTATTACAGATATATTAATTTAACAGTCACAAAGGATTTCCACATTCCGCACTGCTCACCTTTCCGCTTCCTTTACCACTCTCTACGTCGTGGACGTATTTCCCCCCTCTTCGCATAGCAGTTTAGTATAACTAAAATCTTTGAATTTTTAATATTCAATGCCAACATTAAATTGAATAATGTATAAAGCTGCTTTGTTCTAAATATATACATATATATTTTTAATTTAAAGGTGAATTTTAATACTGAATATAAACGGTATATAACTGCCGATAAATATTGTAAAGTTCAATTTATTATTCAGAAAGTTGTGAAATTTAATTAACTTAAACAACATTATTCTGAAACCTGTGAAATTATAATGATATATATTCATAGACGCCAAACTGTTTACTCCATGAATAAAATAGCTTAGAGTAAAAGTCGTTCTCTCTGTCTTAAGTAGACAACAAAATTGTTGGTCGCAAAACGTAAACAAATAAGAAGAAGAAGAAGGTAGCTCCTAATGTTATTCTTATGGGACAAATTTAAAAATGTTTTTAAGGTTTTTATAATTACTACTGAACGGAATCGTCTAGAATTTTAATGAGGTCTTCCCACTGGTGTCATAATTATTTGTGCAAAATTTGAACGCTATAAGTGCAACGGTTCTTGAGTTTTTGGTGCGAACACACTCACGGACTCACAGACAAGCGGACAACTTTTCTCCGACTCCGCTATACACGATACATAGATTCGTTCACTTCGTTCACTCATCTATAATTGTTCAGAAGTTCCATTGTCAGCTTCTCGACGAAAAAATAACAAAGAACAGCAAAACCTAAATCTTCAAATAAAACATTACTATTTAGTAAATATTTTTTATTATTTTAAAGTGTAGAGGTCCATAATATTACATATAACCTTTTACTTATCAAACGTATCCAGCGGGTTTTTATATAAACACAAAACGTGAAGGTAATAAATGTGTGTACTGTGTAGGCCTAAATCTATTAGGAATATATGTTATATGGTTTTTAAAATTTTTATCAAAACATATTTTGAAGCTATTGATTGCAATTAAAGTTCAAGGTTTCATTCGATGCAAAATTATTGGAAATTCAGATTAAAAATGTACTTTGAAGATTTATATGGTTTTTATAATTTTTATAAAAACATATTTTGAAACTATTGATTGCAATTAAAGTTTAAGGTTTCATTCGATGCAAAATTATTGAAAATTCATATAAAAAATGTACCTTAAATATTGCTGGAACATTTTGTTTAATTAGACTATTCGTGCCAATCTAATCCCCACCCGAATGTGTGTTTGAGAAATTTAATTAGTCGCAATTGAATTAACTGCTTAGTACTGCTGATGTTGTTAAATAAATTTAAAACTATCATTGGAAATACCGGTAATTATTACAATTGAACAAATACCCTGGTGTGATATACGGTACTCTGTTTAAGAAACAAGACAATTTTTTTTAGTAAAAAAAGTTTAATTGGACAGAAATATGTTTTGAGTTGTGAAACAACAACAACAAAATTAAGATGAAAATAAATACTCACACTGCACTTTTTGGTAAACTTTTTATCACGCACAGGTCATTGTGACCCAAGTGATATTTTTATTTGATTCATGTAATGCTGCAAAATAATTTGTTGTAAATAAAGAAGTTCTCCCTCTCAGTAATGTACTAAACATTGACTTAAGCTGATTTAAGGGTCGTAAAACCACAAGGATATAATTAATATATTGTGTTACATTGAACAAATGGGAATGGTAGCATTAAATAAATACTTTTCGTGACAAAAACATTATAAATATATTTTATTTATTTATACTAAACAAAACCATCAGTGTAGTTGAATCATTTGTATACATTGAATTAAATGACTTCAATTCCAACTCTTGGCGTCAAATATGAAAGTAGTAGCCTAATGAATTGGAAAATATTCTAACAGTTAACAGTGTGCTGGAAAAATATCCCAAACAGTTACAAGAGCGTTTAACGTTTTATGAACTTTTAAATTTCCTGCAACGACCAACTAAATGGATTAAACAATGTCACAATGTCTTAATTTAAGGAGGCAACTAAATTTTTATTTCAAAAATAAAATCGATAACTAGCCTATTTATCAGTTGAAAAGAAATAGCATAGGAGATAGGTAAAGTTATCAGTAATTTGAAAATAGTTTACCCTTAAATATAAGATTGAAAAATATTATATAAGTAGTAGTTGATGAATTGGCAAAATGTTTTTGCTAGAAGGTTGCTAGCAAAATTGTCATCCAAACAATCCGGAATATAGAATAACTTCATCTCCGTAGGAATTAACTAACAGCACAGTTAAAAATTTACCTAAAAAAGTCTGTAATAATATTATGTCCTCTTTAGTGAATTTACCTTATACGAAATAAGCTTTTACCATATCCTAGGTTTCATGTGAAGGCCTGCACTTAGGACCGTTTTAATTTTTAGTTTTGAGGCCCCCAAAGATAAAAACCACCATCCATTATATTTAAAAAAATTAATGTATATTTAACCAACACACGGTTTACTGTATACGAGTTTACTTCAACCAGGACGTGATTGAGCCATGCGAACGAGATAATCTTGAAAATTAAGAATTTAAACGGGGCAAAGCCCGCGGGTTACAGCTAGTATATTCATAAACCAGCAAATTACAACAGTTTACTTTTTACATGGGAATTTGAAATTTACAGTTAGGCCTAGTTGTAAATTCTCTCCAGAAGTGTTAATCCTGCAAAACGCTTCAGTTATAAAATAATTTGTTTTGTGGAGCTATATAAAAAGGTTTTAATAAAAATTCGGAATTTTGTTGTTTTAAGGGTAACAATTGAAAACTATTTGGTAACTTCCAAATTGAATCAATATCTTCCAATAAAGGCTTTTGCATTTCAATTTTTGTGTTCTACATACCTAGTAGCAAACCCACTTGCTCATTTTATGGATGTTATTTAAACTGGGCGTGTATGCAGGCCTACAGTGTAAATTTCCTTCTATTACCGGTACGAATTTGAACTAATAACTTCTTAAATAACTCTTAACTTTAGAAATTCCCTCAGTCCAAAGTATTGACGTGGCAGGTGAAGGTGATGATAATAGTATATGAATGAAGAATTTATCAAAAAATGTTAACTTATATTGAAGTCACTTAAAACATATTTAAAATTAAAATTTAAATAACTACAAAGATTTCCAAATCCGCTAATAGGGGAACCAAAATGTAATTTATAGGCCTAATCAAAATATTATGGATATAATTTCATACTTGGTATTCAATTTGGTGTAGACGTCAAATTTGTAATGTACATAGCAATTCCCGAGGCTGTAGGCCTATAATAATAAATATGAAATAATAATCTGAAAATAGTTTGGGCTATATGTTCTGTGGCGTAATGAATTTAGGAAAACATTAATTATGCGAAGAGATTTTCTGATTATTTGTCAATACCGTACCTAATAAATAAAAATAAAATTATGTAGACTAGACATTGAAGTACGTAATAAAGTGATGCAAACTTCAATGGTGATTGAGCATAATTGAAATATCAAAAATAAGTGCACAGATAAAAAAAATATCATTACACAATCACTATTCAACTAACTTAATCGTGATTTTAAAACTTTATTACAAATTTTACAATAGAAAACCAAATGAATAAAATCCCGGTTCGCAAATTATTACAATGAGAAAATATTATATCAATCAAGTTATACCTAAGAAAAACAATTTTGTATTACACTATAAGTTAACAAGAATCTAAACCTTTACCCAGTCTACATTAGATTCTAAACTACCAGTTAATTGTAAAATACATTGTTTAAAATTAGATTGATCACATAATAAAAGTAATTAAAGCTTAAAATCACCAGAAATATAAAATTTACTTTTACATTTGTAACAAAATTGTAAGAAACTGCATCATGATTGCGGACTAACCTATCCACCAATCGATAGCAGCCAAGTAAACATGGAACCACACCTATGGCAAACATTGGCCAATTCGTGGAATATAGGGCTACAAAACGGGATACAAATTTGTAAACAATGGTGATTGATACAATAAACTACCTCAAATGTGCCAAATTTCCACCCTAAAGCCACTGAAGTGCTGCGCCCTTTCAAAATGGTGGACCCTAAACCCGTACCATCTTGCGGCTTTTCAACCTTATTTTGTATTAAAATATTGAAAGCACGTACAGTATATGTATTCATTAAAATTCCCTTACCTTACAGAAGTATATCCTGTATTTTCCAGAATGATAGGGTTCACAACACTTTGAAATTCACTCACTTATTTCATTTGGTAATCTCCCAAAACGAGTAAACACTGGAATTTTAGTTAATTTTGAGTTAAATTGTAAAATTTAAAACGATGTTTTCTCGACCTACCGTTTCGCTACGGAACCAAATCGATAAATTAATTAATCGCAATTCTACTAAATTATAACACAACCACTTAAATCACTAAATAAACCCGATTACAACTAAAACCGGTGACAGGATTCCACTGCACAAATACAAATCGATAGACACTTAACGATGTAATCCATACAGCACTGGACAACAATGAAATCAGCTGGTAATGCCAGTCAGTTTTACCAACAACATAAAATTGTAATTTTTCACCACACAGTAGATCTTTCCTCGACGAGCTGGCAGTCGTCTGCTAGGTTGTGACATGCGCATCGCGCAGCATTCTGGGTTGGAGACTAAACTCTCAGACCCAGACGTACCGAGCACAAGACAATCAATACACGATCTAGCACGGGCGAAAATCAAAATCGCATGGTATAAATGACATACTTTGTATTGTTTTTGTCTCAAAATATACATCCAAGCGAAACACTACTTTAATATTAGGCCTATGTTTAGAGCAGTAAAGCAAACTGGATTCGGGACCGTTAAGTTTGTACGTTTTGGATTTGTAAAATCAGATTTAAAAAAGGGTTTTACTTGTAGTTATTGTTTTATTTAACTGCGCAATGTTTTGCCAATCAATTATTATTGGAATTCAAATAAAATATTGGAAATGAACTGTTTTGAGTTATCAATTATTTTAAATTCCTGCAATATTTGTTCGATTGGTTGATTACGAAAAATAATTAATTTTAAAATCGTGTTTATATATTTTTATCATGCTTTATGGCCTTTTAATTATATTTATGTTAAAATATTGTAAAATTTATAGATTGCTTTAGTTTGTTTTAAACTTTTTAGAACATCTTGCACTGGGATCAATTTTCAATTTAGTATTCACTGCTCCATGAGAAATTCTATATTTGTATATTTTTCTTAGTACAGTATTGATTTTCTCTTTGTTAGCTAGTGGTCAATCACCAGCTCATGTTTTTCAAGTTAGATTTAAATGTTGTATTGTTATTGAATTTGCGTATTGTTCAACTTTGAACAGATTGTAAATTAAATCAGTTGAAAAAGTATTGTTTTTACAGAGAAACCTATAGGCCTAGTGACGTAAAATATTTTAAAAACACTTTGCTCAACTATGTTTTACTTCAACGCTCAATTACACTCAAAAGTCTCCTATCATAGCCTGAATCAATATACTCCAATTTATATTTGTTATCATACTTGAAAATTAGCTGAACATTTCATTTAAACTTATGTTTAAACATGTTTTATCCATTGCGCGTATTATTTTTAACAATTCAGTATAGTTCCTGTAGTTTTACAAACTGTGAATTTTTACAATTGTATTTTTTTAATAGTTCGATAGTTTTGAACTGCTGTATGTAATTTAGTTAGACTAAAACACAAACTATGTAACAGTTTGCCAAAATCTTGGTGAAAAGTTTTGCCGACATAACCTTCAAAATGTATTACAAAATATGAATACTCAACACGATATCCTTCACATTTTTGTAAAAATTACTTCTGTAGTTCACTTTCAATGTTCAAGTTTTGGTCTAAATGCACCGTACCATAATAATAGTAGATTTTTAAGGAAGGAAATTCAAAATTTTCCAAAGTTCTCCCTCTACACTCTAGGTTCTAAATGGTATAACTTTTACTAAACAGTACGTGGACTATTTAAAACAACTTGCCGTAGGAAATCTTTGATTCAAGATGTTACGGCTTTGACATTAAATTGCTAAATTCACCGTATTTCAATTATCGTAGCCTAAATGTTTTAAATATTTGATGAGCTACATATAATATTTTGAGAACGAGCGAAAATACCAACTGTAATGAAAACCAATAAATTAACAGAAGGATTAAAAACTAGACTGTTATCAAATTAGTATTAAATATAGTATTAAATATATACACTATAGTATATTAGTATATTAAATATATATAGTATTAAATACTATATAAATGTAGTAAATATTATAAACCATTTTTTTTTGTTAAAAAAGCATTTTATGTTTTAAAACATAATTTTTTTGCATGTAGGTAAAGGTTTTTTATATTCTCAAATAATTTTTGAACAGTTAGTAATGTTTAAAGTGTTCACTTTAAATCTAAAAATTGCCGATTCGACTAGGACCTACATCAAATGACGGTTTCTTACAAAAGGTAGGCGTTAGTAACAGGACCATGGTTTTGAACGAAAATAAAGCCAATAGCATTAACATTAGGAAAATAACCAAAAAAATGCAAAGGTCAGCGAAGGTGTATGTGAAACGCCGTACAAATATTAACGCAATCTAACTGCTGCATCAGTTTTGCGATTCCACTTTTGAAGGCGCAGTTCGTGCTGTGTGTTTAGACCGATGGTTTAGACGATGGTGTTCCGTTTTATTATTATTATTATTATTATTTTTTTTTACTAAAATCTTTGGCTATCAATACAATAATCCAAAAAACTTCAGTATCCAATAGTCAATGCTAAAATATTAAAAACCATAATTTTTTTTATTATTCAGCAGCATAATGTATTAACACAATTTAATCGACACAGTTGTACAATATTTGCTTAGCTTTTGAGTGCATAGATTTAGATTATCTACAAACCTAAATACAGTGCTTTACTGTTTATCGATTCAGAACACATTTTTTAAGTTTAGACTTTCTGTTAGGTGTTTCATTAAGGTCTGTGAAGTTATCAAATATCTATATTAATTTTCTCATATTGTTACGTAAATTTTATGATTCTAAACTATCCTTTAATTAATTTGAAAATAATAGTTTGAACCCTTAATTTTTTCATGATGAAATGTAATAATGGTGTTAAAGAGGAGAAATCGTAGTTAAACTAGTTTTTATTGCAAACGAATATTACTTAAAATTTTACAAAAGTATACTATTTGTAAAAAAACCATGGAAGCAGCAAATATTTCATGGATGACATTACCCAGTTTGTAGAAAATACTTTACAAAATATAAAAAAAATTTAACTTTCTTTAATAATGTGTGATTTTTCTTTAAACATCCTCGTCCAGTGGTTGGTTTAAAAGTCCTTTTAAACACACTTCACAAATAATTTACATTTGTCTCTGGCACATGGTTTTTTTTATAAGGTTTTACACTTAAATTCTTGGTCTTGGCATCTTTTTGTCCAAGGCAAACGGTGCGCCTTTGCAATGGGAGGCTGGATCAGTGGACATGGACTTTTCAATCCAATTGGTTTACAGATACAAATTTTTTTGGCAAAATTTCAATACAACTATCAAAATTATAAATAAAAAAAGTTATGAAGTTAATTATACTAATTATGCTAGTAAAACCATAGATAAAACATCCATGATAAAACTGAGCCACTACTATGGGCACGGGATTATGATTTGTGCATACAATATCTATCACTGTTACTCTCATGCTAACTGATTATGAAGGATTGTGACAAGCTAATGGGAGAAAGGATGCATCAATTACCTGAGACCGTTTATTTTGATACAGCCTACAAAAATTCATGTACAAATTATTTTAGATTCCTAAAATAGCTTTATGGTACCATTCAGACTTATTTAAAATTAAATGAATTACAAGTATGAATTTGTTTACTCTTTAGTTAAAATAAGAGACTATATGATAAATCCCAGATAAGTTCATCTCAATAAACCGATCCTCAATAACCTCAATCTAAATCAAACACAATAGGTATAATTTATTTGCCTTTGAAAATAAATAAAATTTTAAAATGGTAATTCCCATAGAATTTCTCGTCTTCAGCTCCATAAAAAACTAAGAATAAAAGAATAAAGACAAAACCATGATCTGAAAGCTATTAATCAAGACTTAGCAAAATTGTGTTTTTCATTCGTTTGTAAAAAACAAACTCTGTTGATATTGGACATTTTTTTTCAATTTTTATTGGTAACATGTTGTATAAACAAAATTACATACTTGTCATAGAAGTTTGAGGACAATTAGATAACAAAACAGTTATTTTTCTTTCAGACACAATCCAAATTACAATAATAGAGACTTTATTTACCGTTCATATTCACAATTACCTAAATAACCCAAATATTTACCATCCTTAGCCTAGATTTCACTAAAATTTTTTTATTTTATGAATTTTTAAAAACTGCTACTATACATCCACATATTATTGAAGCTTTCTCTAACCAATTTTTAATTTATAGTAATTTGGAGACAAAATGATTTTTTTCTTTACAACAAGAAAATTGTATCTTTACTCTAGTCGCACTCAATGTTCATCCACCCCAGGGCTACCCCTGCATCCACCCCCTTAGTTTTAGAGGAGTCACATATTTTAATCTAGATTTTGGAAAAGTTTCAGTTAAACTAACAAATTATATACAGGGTGTTCATTTGACAACTTTCCATATCTGTTGTGTGCAAAGGTGGGGCTTTTAACACTTGTTTGTTCTCATTTCCCCCTAATTTGGACATGCCAAATCCAATAAAATTATTTTCAATTTTGAAAAATGCCCCAAAAGGGCCCAATTTGGGGTAGGGGTGCTTTTTGAGAAATTTTCAAATGTAAACATGGGTTGTGTGATACACCAATTTAAAGGTCTAATCACCCCGATCATTTTGGTGCAAAAAAAGTTTAATTATCTTTAACCGTATTTACAGGGTGGGTCATAACGTTTTAAAAAAGGACTTTGAAGTTAAATACCGTATTACCCTAACTACCGAACGGAACAGCGCCAAATTTCTTTCCAAGCTTATTCGTGAGCTACTCTTTAAGATAACTTGTAGTAAGGGCATTTTCCATGTTATTTTCTAATTTTAAAAAAAATCTCAAATTTTAAGAATAAAAGAAGCTGAAAACTCAAAATTCTTAAATAGCAAGGTATAACAAATTTCATACCACGTGAAAGGTCCTTTTTTAACAAACATTTTACATATTTAAGTTTTCTTTCTATCTCTTACTGTTTAAAAATTGCAGTAGAAAAACATAATTTTCTATGGTAAAATTGTAACTAGTTTTCTAATAAAACAGCCAAAATTCGTCTCTAGACACATTAAATGGTACAATAACTGAAGGAAACAATTCATAATTATTTTTAGGCAGATAGGCAAACAAGTCATTACGTTTTACTTTGTGAAAAACAAGTTTTATAGCTGATGAGAAAACCCCAAGCGTGGGCCGCTTTCTGTAGTACCATTGACTAGTCAATGGTAGTACTAATTTCAAAAGTACCATTTCCTGTAGTACCTAATCAAATATGGTGTAAACTTAAAAAAATAGACTTTATTTTTACTTATTGGTCAGAACAAAAGTGTTCCAGGATAAC